TAACAGTGGTCCAGTATTCTGTGTGCTTGGGAATCAGTATTTAGGAGGCTTCTCCAGGCAGTTATGCTTCATGCATTAGCCTGCGAGTCTACAGTTCTTCCGTGGGGCACACGAGAATTAAACCCAGAGGTATCACAGGAGAAAGCACACACCTAGTGGTGCAGCTCAGTGTGAGATGATTCAGTTTGGTTTTGAGCAGCTCACATCTTTGCTGGTCCTTCTGGGGTAGTTTCTTTGCATATGTACTGTGAGTGTGCCTCTGGAGGGGAGGACGGGAGGAAAGAGAGCATGTATGTAGCCTGAGGGGAGCAGCTGTTTTTCCAAAGTGGATAAGTCACTTCTGAATTTGCTACCTGGTTAGCCAATAGGTACTGCAAAAGAAATACCATCATTTAGTAATCAGAGTGAACCAAAAAGCCTAGGCTACTTCAGGACTGTGGCTTGCCTTGTGGTAAACCAGGCTTTTTGAATGTTGAGTGCCAATGAAGAGTAGAGGTGGCATGGACTCAAGTGGAGAAAGAAAGGTGGTAGTGAGCTAGACATCTGGCATGGAGGACAATGACAAGCACATGGTAACTCCTCTTCTACATTAAGGACATGACCAGAGAGGGCCTGCATGCCCAGAGTACTCTGTAGGGTTTAAATGCCTGCCAGAGCAGCCTGCAAGTGCAGGATCTCCCACCCCAAACACTGCAGACAACCATATGCGCTTCTTAGGGTGTGAACACACAGAGACACACATGAAAAGGTAGCTCAGCCATCCAGGGGAGCTGGGCACTGGCACCACGTAGTTGTAATCCCGAGTCTGGGAAGAAACTTGATTTGGAGAGAGCCTGAGCCTGGATCCATAGGTAGGCAGTGGCTCCCTGTGTGGCTGTTCTTAGAGAATACTTGTCATGAGCGTTTGCATCCTGCTGGTGCTTCCACGTTCCCACACTTCTGCGTCGTACCCTGAGGTTTGATCACTGCAGTCGGGCAGTGATGGGCTGCAGCTCACAGGGGTTTGCTGCAGTTTCACAGCAGCTTTGTCTGGTGCTAAAACATATCTCTCTCCTTCAGATATCTCCTGATCTTCCTTGTAATGCAGCTAATCTCTGGGTTCTGCATGAGTTCTGTGTTTCCACTTCGCTATGGAAGAATGGGAAGAAAACAAACAAAAATTTTGCCTCTAATTAAAGAAGAGTAGTGTTTCAGGGGCCCAAATCATAGTTTATTTCAACTTTTCTATAGCAAGGGGAATCAAGCCAGTGCACCATAAAATAGCAATCCCAGAGAAAAGAGGTTGCAGGTATTTCCACTTTGCTGTGGACAAGTGAGTCACCTGGTCCAGGCCACAGCTGTGCCTTCCAACCTGCGCCAAGGGAGCCGAGCTGAATCAGAGCAGGAAGCTGTTGCTTTCTGGTATGTCTCTTGGCCAAGAATGTGGTTTTCTTGGAGAGCGGCTGCATTGGTCAGGCTTGGCCCCAGCTACAGCATCAAACCAAGCTTCAGGACACACCTCAGTCAAAGCTGGAGTGCTCTCTGGAGAGGTGGGGTTTGAACACAGGTGATGCTCTGAGGGGGAAGAAATGCTTCCCTGTGGTGTGGAGACAGCTGGTCATACAGTGAGCCAGCCTCACTGAGCACCGCAGCCTCAGCTCCTGGGAAGTGCAGGGCATGCCCCTATTTGGAGCTGTGCCAGGCAGGGGTGTTGACCTGGATGTCTGCAGCCCAATAGCTCTGCAGCCCTTGCTGCTCCATCCCCACTGCGGCAGTAGCACCACAGGGTCCTGAACCTACAGGGTGACTGCAGCAAGCTGGACGCCCTGTGGCTCCCCAAAGCCCTTGCAGACCAGCTGGGTGAGGGCTTCTTTCTGTTGTGAGTCAGAGCTGCTTCCCCGTGGTCTCTGCATGCAGGAGTCTGAATCTACAGGCTCCCGATCTGCACAGGTGCCACATGAGCTCCCTGTCAGGCAGCATTTGTGTCCTTTTGCCATGTGTTATCTTACACCCAAGGCAAGCCCTTCTTTCCCTTTCAGCTTGAGCTAGGCTACATAATGCCAACACTCCAAAGGAACAGCAGCATTTCACCATTGTTTTGCAGTGGCAGCAAATACAACATAAAATCTCTCCGACTACTACACGATGTGAGGTATTGGACATCATCCTGTTTTGATGAACTAGCTAGAATGAAAAACTTCTGCTTTTGGCTAGTCTGATTGTCCCCAGCAAAATAAGAGTGATTATCTAGTATTTTCACTTCTGTTGTTGTTCGGTTATGATAAATGCAGAAGTTCTCTAGGTTTAGAAGACAGAAAAAAGCCATTATTGCCTGGGCCATATAATGCAGTTCAGTGGTTTTGCACTGAGCTCACAATCTACCTCATAAAGTTTGTGTTTATTTACCACAAGAGTATGGGTTCTCTGGAAGAAACATAAACTCTTCCACCTGTAATCAATCTGTACTTTGAGTCTTATCCCTTTTTCTCTTCTCTTCCCTTTCGTTCCTCCTTTTGTTCAAAGGATGAGAAGAATCAGGTGTTGATCACAAATGCTTGGCTGCAGATGGTGAGTAACCTGTGTCAATAAAGAAAAAAAACACATTCTAATTCAGCAAACTACTGAATGTGATTTCTTAGCTGAAAAGCAAGATTGTTGTCTTTTAACTTGACTATAATGTGAAGTAAGTAAAGTAAGCATCCTGAGTACTTTGAAATGTCTCTTGTACTCCTTGTAGCACTGAAAATTAAATGCAGGAGACTACATTAATCCTTTGGGCAGACCTGTTGATCTTTGAAGGGTGAAACCAACTGCATTGGTAGGTCAGTGGATGTAGGTCTAGTAACAAAGAGCCCAAAGTTAGAGTCCCACCGTAGCTGAAGGAGTGATCCTTCAAGGGGCTCAAGGCCATCTCCAAGCCCAGCAATGGGGACTTGTGAAGGAGCCAGACACCCAGTAAGACCCGAGCACCCTGTACTCACAGCTTCTGGCAAAATCCCCACGTCTGTCTGAAACAGGGAGCCCAGGGTGCCCCCATGGAGGGCAGGGCACAAAGATCCCCAGCGCTTGCCCCCAAACACAGAACTAATGCAGCCTCACTGCACCATGTGGAAACTGCTCAGGCTGGGTGGTGTGGTGGCCAGGGACCACAAGGAGCCCCATGCTGCATTGCTGCTGGCAGTGCCTGGGCACGTCAATGGGAACATTGCCTTCCCTTGCGCTTTAGCAAACCTCATTCATAAACATTCCTCCTTCCTCTTCTGCAACCTGCTCCAGGTGAGGAGTGATCTGCACCAGTCATGCAGGATAAGCAAAACTGATCTTCACTGAGGGCTTTGGGGAAGGGAGTTTCCTGTGAGGTCTGCTGCTGGCTGCATACAGCAAGACATATGATCTTCTCTTATGGCCTGTAAAATAATCTCCTTAATGGCTTGCACTCAGTAATGCTGCTCTGCAGGGAAAAGTCTGTGGGAGACTTGAATGATTGAATTAATTTTGCTTTGATTTTAGCAGCCAGACACTATTTCATGTTAATGGGTGTAAGTGGACAGGCTGTTTCTTCCTCAGATACCTGCTGGGATTTGCAGCAGAAATGAGTTGTTTTCTATTGCAAACACTAACCCAGAACAACCTATAAGACTACAGGATTGTTAGGACAGAGCCTGTGGGTGTGGTGTCCCTGGCAAAGGTGTTCTTCAGTTATAGCATCAGTAACTGTTTCCCTTCCAGCCTTCCCATAGAGCTTTGGTGCAAATGTCAAGGTTCACCACAAAAGCTGTGCCTGTATCTTTCTGGCATTAACTGTTTGTGTTAGGGTGGAGGAGAGGTAATCAGAAACAGCCCCTTCAGATGTAAAGTTCACTTGCCTACCTCTCATAGGATGGTGGTTTTTAAAAGAATCACCCAACCTTTATTACTGATTAAATTATGTCCAACAAAGAAGGACTCTCAGACTGTGGTCCACATACCACTGATGACACCCAAGTCATTCAAACCACCTCAGCTCAGAACCAGCATGCCTCATGGAAGTGCCAGTGTTGCTGCCGGCCCACCAGAAAAAGTTTGCAATGCCTGGCTTCCAGCTGCAAGGTAGAGAGGTTAGACACTGAATTAAAACACAGCACACAGCATTCAACCACCACACTGTGGATGCCTAGGTACATATGCCAACCTTTCTTAATAATTAAAGATGAGCATTAAACTATTCTTATACTACTGCTGTTGCTACTGGCAAAATCCATTATGTGCCCATAATATTCCAGACAACTTAGAAGACTTTTACCAACTCGTATAATCTGATGTATGTATTTGCCAACAGTACTGGGTTGACGTTTACCTGTCTTGGGATCAGTTTGAATACCCAGGGGTGCAGAACTTGCGATTTCCAGCTGACCAGGTTTGGGTACCAGACATTCTACTGTATAACAGGTAAGCAAGATGCGCAGAGGCCGGTGGGAGCCTAGAACTAGAGCATTAGATGCTGGATGTCAGCCCTGCTTCACTGATATTGTGGGGCTTTTGCCATCTGGAGAATTGGCTGTTAATCTTGAAACAGTAACAATGAAAGCAAAGAAGTGCCAGCTAATAGATTTTTCTAACAGCTTGTCTAAGTCTTCCTTGCTGTAGTTCTGCTTATGTCTTCTTTACTTTTTCCCAGTGAAAACAATCCATATTCTCCTTACAACGACCATGGCAATTCAGGAATATTATTATCATGTCTCTGCCATAGTGTTCCTACCCAAACTGAACAAATGGATTTTCTTCTGACTTTCCTCATCACTCAATATTTTATAAATCTCTCCATCACTCCTCTTCCCCTCTGAAAACTCTGTGATCTGTTTTTCCTCCTCCAGAGCTGAATCCAGCTCTCTAGCCAGCAATTCTGCAGTGCTGAATGGAGGGGGAGCTCTCTGGACAGATGATTCTTTAATGCTTTCCGGGAAGATGGGATTTTGTTTCTGTTCTGACTAACGTCTTAGTTTTGGACTTATTTTTTGATCTATCGCAAACTCCAGATGTTATACTTCAGCTTTGCTGTCTTGCTAGATTTTCACTGATCTGTCTTTCTCGGACAGTTTTAAGCATAATACTTTCTAATCATCCAGACTGAACTTCATTCTGTTGGTTTCCCCAGTTCACCAAGATCCTTTTTCCATTCCAAACCCTTACTACAAGGTATCCAAAGGGAGCTTGGAGTGACCTGGATTGTTTAAGAGTGCTTTACTTCAGCTTTACTCCTCATGGTCTTCTTATTCCTTTTCAGTCTTTAAAAAGGAGGCATATAGCCTGGTCCATATTACTGTAGTTTGTTTATAAGAACATGATGTGGCAAGCGCATGCTAAAGTTCAGATATATTTCTGTGTTCTCTTACTCAGGTAGTCAGTAAGAAAATTAGACTGATTTGATGCAATTGGCCGTTGAAAAATCTGTGCCAGCTGTTTTCACCTCATTATCTTTGAACTTGGGCTGACGTGTCTATAATTTCACCTTTTTAAAAAAAAATCAGATTTCTCTTTGATCTTCCTTAATTCACCAAGCCCTTCTTTGCACTCCATGAGCTCTCACAGATAATTGTTAATGCTTCAGAGGCCATTTTGGCCAGTCCTTTCAGTACTCAAGAGTAAATTTCATCAGCCCTGCCAACTGGAATCTGTCTTATCTACACTTCTTTAACCTGTTTCTGCCCTGTTCTGCCCTAGACTCCTGCCATTGTGCGAGAATAAATCGTGTGAGCCACAGTCTTTGAAGAGTGAAGTGCAGAGAGTGCAAGATACTGCAACTCTCTGCACCCTGTTGTTCCCTTTCTTTCCACAGCAAGTAATGGATCTATCTGGTTCTTTGTCTTTTCCTTGTTTCCTTGCATTTATAAAAACATTTCTTGCTGCCTTTTATGTGTTTTGATAGTTATCACTCCTTCTGCACTTAGCCTTTTCAATTTTATCCCATTTGTTTTGTGCTCGGGCAATACTGAGGACTGAGGACTCAGACATGAATAAAGAACAGGTCACAGGAGGAATGGAGGATCTGAATTTTCCACATCTGGTAGTGAGACAGGGTGTGTAAGATGGTGTAGTCATGCAACATAGACCCGCACATAACCATGACAGGCAAGGATCTACAGCATCAATCAGGGGAACCCTCCATAGTTCATGACTTCCCAAGATACCCTCTGGAGCAAGCCCCCAGGCCTGCTCCCTTGAAGAATTCTTGTCCGTGCCCAGCTCATTACTCCATTATTTTTCTCAGAATTTCTGGAATACTGAAAAAATTATCTTTTCATGGTCCCTTTCACCTGGTCTCTGCTGAGTCTCAATGAATCTCCTCCTACAAGCCCCAGATCTAAAACAACTCCTCATGCCTTCCTCCATTGCTTGAAGCAACACCTTGGCCCCTCTGCATCCTAAGAAACTGCAGAATTATTGCCTCAGGCCACCACTACTCCTGCAACAGATATCTGGGTATCATATCTGGGTAACAGTTATGTGAGTATCAGATACTTGATTTATACTGTGAATTGCCTAGTTCTGACAGCAGCCCCAGAAAAGCCTCATTGTCCCAACTGCGTGGTCTTTGAATACAGTTGCTGTGACACTTTTGCTCCTTTCACCACTGCCTTTGCTCTGAGAACTCCAACAGCTCTGCCTCTCATGTCTTTGAGGACACTAGAGCATGCAACCAGCATGCTTGGGTGCAGGCCAACAGTGTCCATATGAAACCGAGATATTGATTAAGGGTGGACCCTTCACCCAGCGTAGGACTGTAATTCAGATATTCTGTGCATTAAGTTCAGCCAGAAGATTATGTTGACAGATCTTAACTCAAATATTAGCTTGTTTTTTATTTCTTATGTTTTGTTTACACTGTGTTATAGTGCGGATGAAAGATTTGATGCAACATTTCACACAAATGTGCTGGTGAATTACTCTGGATCCTGCCAATATATTCCTCCAGGTAGGGCACAGAGAGCATCTGTTTGCTTTAAGTCAATGTGTAGCTTTGAATTAGTACAAGCAGTTTTCATTCATGAATGAAACTGAGCTATTTAGAAGCAGTCTGTGTAAAGTTTGGAAACTGTGTAATTATGGGACACACCCACTGAAATAATTTAGGTCCATTACTAGTGGTGTTTTTCCACTTCACAAATCAATAAATCACTTTCCTGAGCAGTTTGATTAAAACATGCAGAGGCCCAACTGAAGTGTCACCTAAAGCAAGGGAGTGAAGAGGCACGTGACAGCAGGAGACCCCAAGAGCAGCACTCCCTCTGCAGTGAAGTTCTCTCTGCCAGGCTCAGGCTACAACTCCAGGTGAAGAGGCAAACTGAGACTGGTCTCAGCCCACCAGACCTGACTCTCAACAAGCTTTCCATCTGCATTGCCAATTCAAGGCCTGTAGGGCCCAACAGCCAGGACCTACCAGCAAACAGACAGCTTATCCCCACAGTCATTCACTGTGGTGGATAAGAAATGCCCAAACTTTGTGTCATAGCTGCTGCCAGACTGACTCCAAACATGTCCACAGGATTCACCAGGGAACAAGTCAGTCTGCGCTGATGGCTCATCTTCTGTTGATCCCTACCCCTGTGACGCCTTAAAGCATCCCTGCAGTTTCATTGGGATGGATCCCTGGATAAGGTTGCTCTCCAGGGAGAAACATGAGGCAGGAATAAAATTGACATGTACCAGAATAAAACCTTCTCTATCCCTCCAGGCAGGGAGGTGATGCAGAGGGTGTCTATATGGGGAGATCCGGTCCTGCTCATCTCTTGGTGAGCTACAAACTCCACAGAGAAGAACTGATTACTTAAAAACCCAAGAAAAGAGTAAAGAGAGAAAAAGTAATAACAGAAATCTGTTGTGCAAAGCACAGGAAATCCTTTGCTACAGAAATTTAACTGCTACCAAGCTACTTTGCAAAATTTTAGAAGGAAAAGGTTGATAATCCCCCTAGTGACTGGCAACAAGGTCTCACAGAAGGAGCTAGATTAGTCAAGACATTGGAAAACATGGAAAAGTCGAAAAGATGGTGTTTCCAAACCTTCATTAGAGTTTTATTTCCCATGACTTAGGGCCATGTGGCCCTAAGAAGAATGTTTGGAGCATCCATTAGGGTTTTTTTTCTTCTTTCAGCTGAATAACAAAACCCAGAAATCACTAGTTTGCTACAATATACATGTATTAATCTGCTAAACTGCTTAAAATGTCACATGAAATTATTGTAGTGGATTAGACACACCCAGGGTAAAATACAAGGCCCAGGTTAACATACAGAAGATAAAGGCCAACACTGAGCAAGGTTTAGCATAGCAATGTATTTTCAAGGGACTGTGGGTCTAATGCAGGGCCTGACAAGGAACTCCATTCAAAGAGCTTGTCACAGTACTTCCAGCCACAGTGTGTGGACATCTATGTACTCTACACTCCTGCCAGGCCCTGCAGCACTGCCTGTGATCTGCTGTGGCCACCCAGCACTAGGAGACAGGCTGGACTGCCCCTGAGTGGCCAGAGTGTCCTGGGCAACCTACCTCAAGGATGCAGTGAAAGAGAGGGGTCTTAACTGATGCCCCACTCATGGCAATGTCTTTCACCTCCACTGCTAGTTTGGTTATCCCAAGACTACGTAACACAGACTTTTGGAGAAGAAAGTTGTTCATAATCGATACGAGTAGAGAGGAATTGGCCCCTGCACATGCTTGATTCTGACTGGTTTCTATCCACAGGCATTTTAAAGAGCACATGTTACATTGATGTCCGCTGGTTCCCCTTTGATGTGCAGAAGTGTGATTTGAAGTTTGGCTCCTGGACTCACAGTGGCTGGCTGATTGACCTGCAGATGCTCGAGGCTGATGTTTCCAGCTACATTTCAAATGGAGAATGGGATTTAGTGGGTAAATTGGCTGGCCTAAAATTTTTCTGTATTCTAATTTTCAAAGGCAAGTCCCAAATATATGGAAATCATCAATCCCACTGGGACATGAAATATAGCTATTAAAAGTTTCTATGTAGGAGGCAGCAAAAAAAGGAAAAAAAAAACAAATTAGAGACAACCTTTCACCCACATACATTGAACTGTGTCTGAAAACACTGTATTCTGAAGCAATTGCCTGCAACTGAGCACATAAATGAAATCTGCTGGTCCTGATGCATCTGAACAGTTTGTCAGTACTAAACTTGGATGTGTCTCATGTAGGTGCATAGAACAGTACTGTCACATCTACTCTAACAAGTCAGCCAAAAACTGTTTGGTGTAAAAATACTATTTCAGCAAAACTGGAATGAGCTTTTATAGAGATGAACCTCTCTCACCCAGATAACCATCAAAGTGTCTACCAGTTCATAATAACTGCACATAACTGCAGTTCAGTATGTATCTCTTCCCTTCTGTGCTTTGGAAGATAGGCGTATTTTTACAAGGGGAATCTATGCCCAGAATTAGTTATTCAGAGTGAGCTCCTAGCGAGTTATTTTGAACTCATTCATGTAGCTGTAACTCAGAAGCAATGCTATGGAAATTGATAGAGCTTAGACCACTCTAAGGAGAGCTTGCAGAAAGGATGTTTCATCTTCTGGACATACAGACAAAGAAATAACTGTCACTGACCAACTGCGTGCAGTAGTTTTACCATTCAGGGCATCGGAGGAATAATACAATAAGAAACCTAATTCGTATTCAGTTTCATGAGAAGCTGAGGGACTCTACAGGAAAGTTCTCCTAAAGTCTGTCCATTTCAGAGCTCTCCTCACTTACCAATTCTTTATAGTGGTTATTTCTGTCCAACAACTTTGCATATTTGATGAAGAGACTGGCTTGTGGTTTATCTGCCTTCAGCCCTGACTGGGGGTGAACAAAACAGGGCCTTATATAGCTCATACAGCAAAAGCATGAAGTAACATCTCAGGCAAGCCATGGCCATATCCTTTATATAGACTTTGCCACTCTCCTTTCAAAATATACACATTGTCAAATCTTCTGTCGTGCACAGAAACAAAAAAGAGGTCAGCAACAATGGAACGAAAGATATAAGGTGCTGAGTTCTTCCATCTCCCCTGACATTTCCTGTGACATTTCCTGACAGTTCCTGCCACACAGTGTCTTGGACAGGCTACTGCAGCCGGGTCACCATGGCCAACCCTGCAATACAGCTATATTGGACAGCTATGTCTCTTCACCTTCAGTATGACAGACTTTAAGCTTAACTTCACATCCTGTTTGAAAATTAAGCCATATGCTGTTTGGTTTTCCTGACAAAAAAAAGCAAATGTATGTAAGAGAATAACAGAAAAGTAAGAACCAGCGGCATTTGTCACATGGAGAATCTGCTGCCTGGGCTAGTGAACATGACAGCATCTGTTTGTCACCATTCCCTGGATGCAGGAAAAGCAGAATGCATGTTTTACTGAGTTGATCTTTGGCCACTGCTTGCAAATCTTTCCTCGTTGAGGTTGGGATGCTCAGTACTGTTTTGTTCTGGCCCAGAGGAGCTTTCTTGGCTAAGCCTGTTTCTAATCACTCAGAAGGCATGAAAATACACCCTAGAAAACACAGAAGGTGGAGTAGGAACAGCAGATATCTTGCATTGCTGCCTCAGACATTGCTGAAGACACTGACCCACTAAGAGTTAGCTTGGCTCATTAACCCTGTGATGACATACTTCAGCTTTCAAACAACACTGAACTGAGGCATGTTGTCCTTTGTTCCCTTTATTCTATTCATCCATGTGTGCATCATTGGCCACAAGTGTCACAAAATGACTTTTGCCTGGTAGCTGATTTGGGGGTGTCTTTTCTCCCTTATCAATTGCCACAGGACACTTCAAAAGCAGTCTTCAATGCACAATGTGTGGCAGAGGTGCCATACTTTGGCTCATAAACCACCAGTTCTTGCCCCATTCTGAGGGGATACCCAGGAGTCCTGCACCTCTCCCCACTGCTCTGATCTCCCTCTCTGTAGGAGTCCCAGGAAAGAGGAATGAGTTGTACTATGAATGCTGTAAAGAACCATACCCAGATGTGACGTACACCATCACTATGCGCCGACGCACCCTCTACTACGGCTTGAACCTACTCATTCCATGTGTTCTCATATCTGGCTTGGCATTGCTTGTTTTCCTTTTGCCAGCTGATTCAGGGGAGAAGATTTCCTTAGGTAAGTGCTAAAGAGTTCATGCCTTTTGTAAGCACTTCCTATAAAATGGAAAATACATACTTCATGGTGCTTGGAGAAGATTTCCTTGGAGGAGCAGCTGAAGCACTTGTTTGGCTGCAGAAACCAGGGTAACAGCTTTCTGTATGGCATTCACACATCTTGTGCTAAACACTTCCAAAAATCTTTTGGATTTGCTCTGGGAAGAGGCAGAACTTGTCATTGGCACAGGCAGAGGTGATAGTACTCAGTCATACCTGTTGTTTTGTTCTTTAGTTCGTTTCGATGCGTTTCACAGCTGATTAACTCCGTTTTTCAGATACGACATACTAAGACACAGATAGTAAAGGGATGTGAGCAGCAGGAGCTGGGCATTGGATTTTGATTTTCCAAGTTCATAGCTCCCAAACAGCCAAGCCATGAGTCCTCCATGAACGCAAAGTAGTGACAGACAAGGAAGGGCTAAATGAGATTTAGTGTTGCGTGTGTCAATAAAGGCAGGAGGAGTGCTTCCAAGAGAAGACAGGGGAGAAATGGAAATACACAAGACTGGCCCAGGCGAGACCTTACGAGATAATTGTGCACAATTCTGATCAGGACAGAGACATATGAAGTGCCCTCTGTGTTAGTAGAACAATCAGGGATCTGAGCATCTTCCCTTATAAGAAATAAAACATAGGCTATGGGGGATACAATTGCCCTATGAAATATAGGATGGAGACAAGGAAGAGAGTTATTTGAGCTGAAGTACAATGTTGACACAAAAATAGGAGATGATGTTCATGCATTGACCTTGCGATTTCTCAGTACCAGGGCAGTTATGTTTAGCAACAGTCTTTCCAGATAGAACAGACAAAGAGCTTCTTTTAAAACAGGCTGCAGCTCTTTGGAGGGTGTTATGTAATATGCAATTGCCAAAAACTAGGCTTATGTCAGTGCAAGTCTCTCCTAGCCCTTAATAACCATCTGGGCTTTGTGCTATGTTTTGCAAAAGCAATGTAGTTTACTGGTTCTGCAAGCTTCATTTCACTTGGCAGAAAAGACTGCCATTACATTAAGAGGAGCAAGGGTTTTGGGGTAACTGAGAAAAGCAAAAAGACAGCGGATAAATTTGCATTCAAAAATGCTCTCTCTGCAAGTGTTCTCAGCTGCACAGACAGACATGAAGTCAGAGGTTTGGCTTAGCCGTAGATCAGGGCAAAGTTATATTTAACAGCAAAGACATCAGAGGAGCAGCTGCAGAGTTCATGTTCCTCATCTTTCCCTTCCATGTTCACTCCCTGCAGGTATCACGGTCCTGCTTTCCCTGACTGTATTCATGCTGCTTGTGGCTGAGATCATGCCTGCAACTTCTGACTCGGTCCCGCTAATAGGTAAGCTGATTTTCTCTGCTCTGTGCACAGTGTATGATGCTTCTCAACAGTTATTCAAAGCCTGTTTCAGGACTGACCCTTTTTGTTACTACAGTTTTGCATTTCAGCAGTGTCAGGAGTAAATCTCTGTCTTGGCTTTACTGTCTGCACGTATGAAAAAAGCCTACATGAGGGTACAAAAGGGGTCTGGAAATATCAGATAAGCTGGCAATTGCAAGGACTGAGGGGACACAGAATCAAGACACAATGTGGAGGTCTGGGTAGGCAAAGCACAAAGCAAACACCACCAGTGCACAGGCGCGAGTGGGACAATGGAATAGTACTCAGCCCTGGTTCTGGATTCACTGAGTCTGCCCATAAAGTCCCTTCAACAGCACTTTGGATGTAGCTGTGTGCTTTCAAAGATCTCGGCGCTGCAGAAAACCAATCAGTCTTCTTCCATATGACCAGCCCCCCCCGCCCCCTACTGTTACGCATCTCTTCCCTGCCTGACTCCTTCTGCTCATCTTCTCTTCTTGCTACCACAAGAGCAACTTAAGATACTACAGTCAAAATTCTAATATATCACTGGAACATTTTTAATATGTGCTCAAAACTATGGGACACATTATCATCTTGTGAACAGAGGCCAGACAGGCATTGATACATCCTCTCTTTCCATAGGACCTTCCCTTTACCTTGACATAATTGGGCCTCAGTTTCTCAGCTGTGAACTGGCAAATACGTTATTCCAAGACCTCATAGCAGGGTAAAGAAAATAAACCTGTTCTGGTTACAAAATAAGGAAGTACGAATACCACAGAAAAACTCATAACCTTTTTAGTTATCATCTCCTGAGCTAAGGTCTATCTTTGCGCACAAATCATGATTAAGTACACATTCAAGACAGTCAAAATATTCCACAATATATCTAGGTGATGCTGGAAGGTGCATCTCACCATTGTATAATTAATGCCTCGCACAAGTTATATCATGAATAGGACAAAAGAGCATTTTTTCAGGCAACCTCATTCTCTCACTTCAAGGATTAAAACTTCAGACCTAACGCTGGGGAAGGAAGGTGACCACGCAACAGTAAACACAACAATGCCCATAGGCAAGCGTTTCTGAAAGCCTCCAAATAACTTGGACGTCTTGTGGAAAATCAGCAGGACTCTTGCTTCTGAGTCTCACAGGAGCTTCCAATAAACTAACGAAACCTCTCTCTGAACATATACCTAGGACTCCACAGAGGCAGATACGGTTTTAAGAGAAATTTTGTGGTTGTGTAGGGAGGAGACACAAGGCATCCTGGACCAGTCTTCACGTAGTTTTACTTCGTGTAATATATAACAAAAGCTGCTGGAATTAGTGAAAGGATGCACTTGCCTATGCCCAGTCCACTAGCTTTAACTAGACCAGTTTCTGCTGATACTGTCTCCTATCATCGAAGGTAAGATTTATACCAAGAAAAGCTATGAATAGTTATGTATTATTACAGATTTTGATGCTGTAATAACAGATTAATTTATATTTATCACAGGATAGCTATGCTAACATCACATATCAGGAAAGGGTGAAGGCCAGTGGTGCTGGGGAATCCTGTTGCATCAAGTCTCCCTTCTCCAGGTGAATATTGGCTCAAGCATTGTGACCTCTCACATCTTTCCATTCTTTTTGGATCACAAAGTCAAGGACATAATAACAGAGTATCTTCTCCTGAGTGTGCCTCGTTGACAACATGTATTGTTGCAAGCTTTTTCCTAATGCCCAAATAATTAGAGCGTATCAAATGTACTAGAAATGCACCTCCCAAAGTTGTCATTGTAGATCAAACACAGTCTGTTTCTTTCATCTGTTCACTAGACAAATTTTGTACTGTGAAACACTGTGAAAGAATAATCCTTGCACACAGATGCTTTGTAACACCCTGGAGACTGACTTCAGGTATCCAGATGAGGGATGCCTACAACAGTCCTCTGGCTACCATCATCTGATACTTCCCTGTTACAGCCCAAAAGCAAACTGAACCTAGACATACTTGGTGCACTCAGGCTGCATGCTGTAAAACTCAACCTTTCCCGTGCAATGCGAGCTCTTGTTTCACAGGATCATAAAACAGTTCAAGTTGGAAAGGATCTCGGGAAGTGGAAGACTGTGTCAAAAGCCTTTGTAAAGTTGACATAAATGACAACTACTACTCTCCCATTGTCTGCAAATGTTGTGGTTTTGTTATAGAAGGCAATCATGTTGGTCAGACATGATTTATCCTTGGTAAATGCAGGCTGGCTTTTGCCAGTCTCCACCTTCTCCCTCAGATGTACAGAAATGTTCCCCAAGGACTTGCTCCCCAATTTAACCAGGGATCAAAGCAAGAGAGACAGGGCTGTAGTTCTCTGGATTGTCCTTTTGGACTTTTTTGAAGATGGGTGCAACATCTGTGTTTCTTCAGTTGTCAGGGATCTTACCCCATCTCCGTGGCCTTGCAATGATACCCTTAGGACTCCTGGTGACATCTATCTGGTCCCATGGACTTGGGCAGATTCAGATCTCACAATAAGCTCCTGACCTCATCCTCGTCCACTGCTGGTTGTTTTCACTGTCCTTGAACCATGTCTCTAAGCACAGAGATATAGGAGACCTTGATGGTGAAAACTGAGGTAAAGTACACACTCTCTTGGCCTCGCCTCTGTCCACAGTCACTAAAACATCCTCCCCATTCAGCAGCAAGCCCATGTTTTCCTTGTTCAGATTTTTACTGTTTGTGTAGTGGTAGAAACTCTTCTTGTTGTCCTTCACTCCCTTGGCAGTCTCAGCTCCTGAGCTTTAACATTCCTAACACCAACCCTAATGCCAGACAATGCTTCCAAATTTCCCTTCTGCACCCTGTCCCTGCTTCCTGCATCCCCCACTCTTCTGCACTGGAGCTCCACCAGGAGTTCCCATCCTAGCCACACTTATCTCCTGATGTTTGCTTATGTCTCTGAGTAACAGGAGGGACCTTTCTTGCACTTGGATGCTCCTGTACTTTCAGGCCTTGCAGTTTTCTTGTGTTGCTTGATCTTTCAGAGCTTCCTCCAGGGGGATCCCAGCTACTAGTCCCCTGAAAAACATGAAGTCTCTTCACCTGAAGTCCAGGGTCTATACTCTGCTGTTCTCATTCCTCACTCCCTTCATGGACTTGAAGCCCACTATTTCGTAATAACTACAGCCTAGGCTGCCATTGATTATCATGTTCCAAACCAATTCTTCCTTGCCTGTGAAGAGCAAAGCCAGCTGTGCACCAACTCTAGCTGGCCTGTCCTGTACTTGTATCGAGAAGTTATCACTGACATCCTTCAGAAATCCTCTTGACTGCTTGCATTACACTGTGTTGTGTTTTCAGCAGACATCTAGGAGGTCCAAGTCCCCTGTGACAACTAGGATTTGTGAACCGAGGCTTCCCTGAGCTGCTTTAAGAAGGCCTATTCCACATATCCACTGTGTATCGGTGGTCTATAATGCACTCCCACCACAGCATTGCTCTGACTGGCCTCTTCACTGAATCTGACCCACAAGATCTCCAGCAGCTCTCATCCATCCTTGGTATGTCCTCAGCATTCTCTGTCTGTTCATAAAGTTGTCCACAGCACAGACTCTCTTACTCCACACGTGTAACTTCCCCACACATGCAACTTCCTGACACGTGTACTCCCATTTCTATGTAGCCTGCTGAGTGCTGTGTTAATAGACATCAAAAACAAGCCAACTTCTTTTCTGTAAAAAGCAAGTGACAAAGCTTGGCCTAGAAATCAGCAGCAGGCTGATCAACACCTTTGAACACCAGGAACCTGCTGCTCTGCTACACTGCAGGGGGATCAGTAGAGCTTTCTTTTCCACAGGGAGCCAGCCCCTTTCTGTGCCAAAAAGTGTTCCAGCTGGACAGGCTGGGTCACTACATTTACTCCCTGGTCTCAATCAGCTTCCTTGGTGCTTGCAATTACACCAGTAACTAGCTACTCCTTGCCCAGCAGTATCTCTGCTCCTGTCCTTCTCCAGGGCAGCCTCCCTTTTTTGGGCAACAAGATATTTCCAAAGCCCAATTTTAGCAGCATGTATATGTGCGAGGAAGGCACCTCAGTCTTTCAAAACTTAAATGCTGCCCTTCTGCAAATTCACCTGTGATGCTAAAGGAAGAAGTCTGGGAAACAGAGCAAAGATGCTTCTGCTTCTGTTTAAAACATTAACCACCCCTAGCAACAGAAACCAGCTTAGACATTTGGATCAAACTTATTGAAGTCCCATGACACAACAAGCACAACAGCTTGGCCAGAATCCAGCACAACTTAACAACATGAACAAGGCTTGTTTCACTACAGGGTTCTGAAGGTCCACCCTGGCACTTAAGATCTCTAGAGTGTAGCTCCTAAAAGACTTTCAGACCACGACTTATACAGCAGCACCTGTATCCTAAACTTACCCTTCCTAGTATAGCTAAATAGTGGCTCACGGGAATTGTGTCTGGCTGCGCTTGTGATTTGACTTACTTTTAATTTCCCTCTTTAAAAATACTTTAATCAAGAGTCTATGTGAAGTAGACAGCTGGAAATCCTTACTTGAGGAAAAAATATACAGAAATGCAGAGAACTCCATATGTGTTGCACATCTGAAATTACTGCTCTGAGTGCACTATTCACTGGGTAAAATCTTAAAGCCTGCATGATACAGCTCAGGTATAAGACAACAATAATTCTTTCTGCTTCTAAAAACTTATGCAAATAGTCACAGATTTGTCTTGCACTATAAATGCCAGTAATTTCATGAGGTATGAAATTTCATTAATTTCATGAGGAATCATGGGTGCCCCAGTTCAAGAACGATGAGAAACTACTAGAAAGAGTCCAGAGGAGGACTACGAAGATGATTAAGGGACTGATGCATCTCTCCTGTGAGGAAAGGCTGAGGGAGCTGGGCTTTTTTGTCCTGAAGAAGACAAGACTGAGACGGGAATCTTATAAATACTTATAAATATCTTAAGGGTG